TGCCCTCTATTACTCACTTCCTAGAAGATTTTCCCACTTCCTCTTGAATTTCAGAGACTTACTGAGATTTGAGTCAGAGAAAGACTATTGAATCTATTTGGAATGCCTTTCCATCTTCTTTCCATCCATCAAGCAATTAATCACCAAGCATTTATTAAATGCCCATTATATACCAGTCGGTTGTGCTAGGGACTAGACAAAGAGAAAATCATCCCTGCCCTACTGTGGGAGAGAACATGTACTCAGAGTAGTATGCTCTACATCAATATGAGGTGAGAGGCAGCCTGAAGGAATGGACAGAATTAGCCTCAGAGTCAGTAAGATATGAATTCAGTACTCACTTCTGACATACAAAGCTGTGTGACTGGGTCGGTCACTTAATTTCTTGGTGCCCTAGTCACCTTTCTAAGATGTTAAGTTTGACAGCAGGGCTAATATGCATTAGAGGTTGTTTCATCATCAGGAGCTCCCCATATCAGTGACATCATAGGTCACCAAAAAAAAAAGTAATTTGGAGAAGAGGATGCTGGAACCAGAAAGGCCTCATGGAAGAGATAGTGTGTGAGATGAGCTTTGAGGGACACTAGGGGTTCTAGGAGGTTGCAGTGAGGAGAGAAGGCATTCCAGGCACAGAAGAACAGTAAAAACACATACACAATGTCACATGTGTGAGGAAGAAGAAGAAGGATAATCTGACGAGGCCTTAGGTTATGTGAAAGGGAAGTAACGTAAAATAAATCTGGAAAGGTAAGTTGGAGCCAGGTTGTGAAAGGCTTTACACCAAATAGAGAAGTCTGTATTTAATCCTAGAGATAACAGGAAGCCACTGGAATGTACTATATAGGGGAAATCCAAATAATATAAATCTTTCAAGGCCCAACTTGAAATCCTGCCTCTTAAATGCAGATCTCAAGACCAATCTAGTCCAAAGCAATCTCTCTAACTGCTGAATTTACTAGCTGTATCTCTCACTTGGCAATTAATCATGTATTGCCTTGTAACATCTCATGTTGTTACGTTATTACTTAACTCATATTTGACTTAATCTTTTTTTTTTTGGTTTTGTTTTGTCAACTAGATTGTTAAGCATCTTGAGGGCAGGGATTCTGTCTCATACTTCCATGGTGCCTAGAAGAATAAATATCCACTGCTTGAATGAAGGATTTGCGTAGGAATGTTACAAAGACCCAGGAAATTACATTTTTAAAAAATGATTTGTCAAGCTGTTTATTTATGGGATGAGAATGTTCTGTCATCTTTACTGACCTTCATTCCAAGGCAGTTTTGGCATTATTTAATTATTTTCTGATTTTTAGCATATCCTTTAATGGTCTGATTTCGAGCTTCTCTGAGCGGGGAACAGAGCTTTCTTTAGCACACAGCTCTGCATTCAGCAGATGCTTAATAAATGTTGTCTGAATTAGAAGTTTCCGTGAACTACAGCACCAATAATCTTTATCAAAAGACTCTGAAAGATATCACACTTTATGTGCACAAGCATTTGTGGTGCACAGAAGCAGGAAAGTTAAATGACCACTTTCATAGTTCAGACTCTTCTTTCCTATCATTGTTCTCGCCAGGCAACACTCCCTCACCAGGGCTCACGATGATGTAGGTGTCTACCACAAGATGGCAGTACTATGCAACGGTTCATGAAAGGCCCTCTCCCCCAGCCCACAAGGAAGTTCTTTGGAATAACATATTATGAAGATGATAATAAAGGATATTTAATGTTGATGAATGTTTTTGGGTTTTCAACATGATTTATAATTAATTTGGGGATATTCTCTCTCCACAAGAGGCTACTTTATATAAATTCTGCATTTAGCCTTATATAAAACATAGCACAATTTTTAAAAAGTCCATTTTTGATGTGCAGAACTTATTTACTGCTTTGTTCTTGACTTCCTAATTAGTGTGTTATCTGCTGAAGGAACAAGGGATATTTAAATTTGTGAAATGAGAAGGAATGGTAGACATAAGGAAGTGTGATAGCTATCTTCAAGTACATGGAGGGGTGTCACATAGATGGACCAGATCCATTCAGTACAGAAATAGAATACAAAACTATGAAGCCACAGAGCTGCAGATTTTTGACTCAATAAAAGTAGACCTTCCTAATAATTAGACTGTCTGTAAAATGCAATGAGTTACCTCCTGAGGTAGTGAGTTCCCTGTCATTGGAGACATTCAATCAGAAGCTGACTGGCCACTTCTCAGGGAAGACATAAAAATGACTTATGCTCGAAGGTGGGATTTAGGCTCCATGAGATCTAGAGCCCTTCTAAGTGTAAGAGTCTCTATTTCTGTTTTTCTTATTACCTTCCGAAAGTACTCTAGCTTCAATAATGCTGTTTAGTCATTCAGGATTTTGCAATTCATATTCAGAAGGTAGAGAAATGAACAGGGCCACACGGAAAGAGACTTCTTTTAACCCATCAATAGATTGGAAGACCTTTACAATTAGACAGCTTTTAACGGAAGGTAAAATGAAACCATCTAAAGCAAGATGCAGAATGGAGCCAATCAATAACTTCTGAAAAATACAAATATGTTCTTTGGTCTCCCCTATGAGCACATTCAAGAAGAATAGCATGGAAAGGTATTCCATTTTATCTCATGATGGTCTAAATTTTAAGAGTAGCCCACTGATTGCTCAATGAGGCAATTATCAGTGTAATAGCTGTGGGGAACATATTTCTGCATAAGAATGATAACTACAGATTGAGAGGGAGAAATTTCCACGTGATAGACATGAGCAGAAATTGCCAGTACCAACTGGTGAGCAGCTCTGTTCTAACATGCATGTCCTGCTGGTCCACTTGGGGCCCTCCTCCATTTTAAAGACAGCTTCAGCCAAGGTTTGTTGGGACACCCTGACAAATTCGGGAAAGAATAAATTCCAGGTTTGGTAGTCTGAGACGTACCCATTTCCTAACATTCCTGGGTTGCATTCTGTGGGAGGAAATTCTCAAATCATATCCTGGGGAGAAGTCCCTCTGGCTTAAGAGAAAACAGGCATTTATCCTTGTGGGGAATCCTTCTGGCTTACAAACAGCAAGTTCATTGCATGGTCCAAGATCTTCTCTGCTGCTGTAAATATGCTTGAGGGGAAGATCCTGGGCAGACTGGTTCAACACATAGCTGTGGGCATCCTTGCCACAGTAGTAAGCAGGAGTACCAACAGTTCATCTTCTTTTCTCTTGCTTCTCTGGACCAATGAACCTCCTGGCTTAGCCTTTTACATATATTGTATATAGAATTTGTGTGTATGTATGTATATATATATATATATATGTATGCGTACATATATATATATGCATGTACGTGTATATATATACATATATATATATAAAAATATATATATAAATATACATATATTAAGAGAGAGAGGGAGAATAAGACAGACAGACAAGGACAAGCTATAAATGAAGTTGGCTACCCTTAAATTTTTGAATGTGTTCATAGGGGAGACCAAAGAACATATTTGTATTTTTCAAAAATAATTTATTAGCTCTACTCTGCAGGGTACGGAATTCTTTTTCTCTTAGATGGGCCTATTTTGCCTTCCATTAAAAGCTGCTGCATGTTAAAAAGGAAGGTCTTCCAGTCTATGGATGGGTTAAAGGAAGTCTTCCTGTGTGAAGCTGGTCATTTCTCTATCTTCTGAATATTGTGTAACTGTAGATTTTTATAAGCCTTTAACAAGAGTTTCATGCCATTCATCTCACCACTCAAGAGGCTCTATCACTTAGACAGGAGGAATTATTATTTTTTATGAATAGGTAAAATCTACTGAGTTCAGCTCTTACTGTTATCTAATTTCTTGGAAGATCTGCCAGGGTTGCGTGACCTCACAATGGAAACAATGACTTCCCAAACAGAAAATGGAAAGGAATGGAGACCCACTTTCCCCTGGGCCCTGCTAATGTCTTAAAAACACTTTAGCCTCCAATAAAGACTACAATGTCTCTGGTTGCCCAGGTAGCCTATGTGGTGTTTCCCTGCTAGACTTATAATGTGATACCAGATTTATGATGATAATGATGACTTTCTCACACTAAAAATCACTAGTTTAAGAGCCTGTTCTGTATGACCACAAAGCAAATGTTCACTCTTAGAAAATCAATGCATGTTTTAAGACAAGGGAGAAAGCGAAACAGGGAACCACATAAGTCTTTGAATTGCGATTTCATGAAGGATCATATTTATGAGGGACTTTAGAAGCTAACATGCTACACAGAGAACGCAAGTAATCTCTCTGAAACATTTGCTAAGTTCCAATTTCATATATCAAGTTGATAATTATGGATTTTTTTGGAGGAATGAGCACACAGGAAAACATTTCAAAGAGATAGTTTTTTGTTAAGCCATGAATTTGCTGCTTTTAAAGGCTATTTTAAGGTATAATAGAGAGGCAAAATGTTGTACATGCTAACTTGTTGCAAATACCTTTGCCCCGAGCCCTGTATAATACTAAGGGAAGATGGCTACACAATTTTTTCTTTTCCAGTGTTTTAAGGTAACCCTGATGTGATCCTAAATATATTTTCACTTCTTTCAGCTGTCTGGTATCAGTCCTAGACACAAGCTCAGCACAGCTTGGTTGATAAAACCGACAGCATTTTAATAACTGCTCCTTTCTACTCCTGAATTGGAATAAGAGAGAGTATTCTCATCTTCCTTCTTACAGACATACCATACCAGGTTACAGTCTAGGTTATAATAACAAAGTGTTTAAAAACAGCAGTGGTCGAAGATAACCATGCCTCAAGTAGGTACCCTGGGACAATTTAAATGCGCAGCACCTTTCTCTCTCCCTTCCTTCCTTCCTCTCTCTCCCGTCTTCCTTTCTCTCCTCCCTTCCTTCTGATCAATGCCCATTTCAATGAAGATTCTGAGGCAACAGCATACCTAGAGTTGGCCAAATGATGCCATGGGAATTCCTAAAGGTAATCAAGCAAATAAAATCTGTAAAGGGAAACTTCTGAGTAACACACCTTGTGAACATGCTGCTTTGACCTCTTCTTGTAGCTTCAAAGAATCTTCTGCTCGATTGTGCAACTCATAGCCTTGAAAAAATCCAGGCAACCCTGCCAGGAGCTTCTCTGCATTCACCTGTCCCTACAGGTAGTAAAGATTAGAGGGATCAGAACCACCGTGTTTATAAAACATCCCTCCCCCACCCTGCGCCAAGTTCGAAGTTCATTTTCTTGTTCCTAAAATGGAGGGAGTGGTGATTAAAAGAACATTGAACCACTCCACGAAGGAAGCACACACCCTTGAGGAAAAACAGCAAACGATGAGACATGCTTATGACAATGTTTCAAAAATCCTGCCACTGGTAGAAACACCACAATATAGGGGGAAACAACAGAAAGCATGAGGCTCATTATTTTTATCTGCACTTGCTGAACCTTGTGACTGTGTGTGCTCTGGGTGCTAGGAAAACAGAGGGTACTCGAGAGCAAATTTCACTCCTAAGAAGGAAGATACCTTGCCTCTTCTGCTTAAGATTTCTAACCTGTGGAATATTTTAAATTAGAAAAAGGACCTTGATGAAAACCACGACAAAAACTATTCCTTTTGAATTTAGCAAGTCGAATAATTTGTGATCAAAGACACAGATCATGCTTCAGTGACCTAGTACAAGTCTGAATTTTCAGAGTTATTAATATACTTATTCTAAATTCCACCAACTTGTTGCATTAATCATCAGTGTTTCTGTCTTTCTTTGGTCACCCGAAGTTGGTTAGCGTTTGGGTGGGGAGGGTCTTCTGCAGAAAAATGCAGAAAAATTAAGGTGGTCTGAAGCCATAATAAAATCATTTGTGCTTAGAGCGGGGCTCTTCCTCTTCCCCAACGGTGCTGCTGCTGAAAGGGCCCATGGGACTGCAGCAATGAGTATTTGAGCGGCCGGGGTAGCTGTACAGTCCAGGGAATATTTCCAAACCAACCCCACAAAAAGTGACATGCTTCTCCTGTCCTGTATACAGGTCTTGCGGCACCCTAAACTGATTTTGTGTTTACTATGCTTTACTTTTATCACGTATTCTTTTATCATCCCATATAATCAGTAACATTATAGGAAAGGAATAATCTGAGAGAAAGTTCTAAGCTGGGGCAAGGACTCCTTCTTCCCTATCCCACTCCCCACCCATTTCATGGAGGTAATAACCTCGTCCCTGTCCCTACTCCTATCCTCTTTTTGGCAGAACACCAAACAAAGCCCCCAAAAGTTATGCGGAGTACATCATGTCTTCAGCCTGCTGAAATGCTTCACTGTTCCCATTTTTCTATACAAGTCCACTTTCTCCTCAGACCCCCAAATGCCCATACATAGAATATATCTTACTGGGATAACCAGGGTTTGTAAAGAGAAACCAGTAACTGGAGGATATATCAAACCTGAAGAACAGGCACGTGATCTGAGTAATTAAATTCTTCTTATGGCTAAACTCACCTCAGCAGGGAATTAAAAAATATTTCTTACTTCTTCATTCACAAGCTCACCCAAAATACCCTTCCGTACTGAGTCAGGAAATCTTCAAGGCTTACACTTGGAGCAGGCTTAGCACTTAATTTAAAGGGCTTTAAATGTTTAGGAAATGCTGCCTTTAGTTCTCTACTTATTTCTCTCTTCCTTTACACACACTGTCTCACTCGGGTTATCTATTTGTGGCAGATAAAATGCGAGCAGATGCAGGCCCCTGCACTTGAGCAGTCATTCAAACTGAGCCCCGTGTGTCCGAAGGGCGCTGCCAACTCTCTCCTGTCCTCTACAACACTCCCCTGCAGGCCCATGGAGCAGTACTGTTCCAGACTGTTATTAAGCTCTGTTCAACTGTTTAATTACATAGCCATTCAGCCGCTCCTACATTCTCTTACTTGCCAACCTAATTAGCCGCCCACTCACATACTCTCTTACTCACTTTCTCATCCGCCCAAGCACACATACCTCCCATCTCATTCACTTTCTCACTCACTAGCATAAGTGTGGTCTCATAGCCTCCATTTGCTCATGTATGTTATCTGAGCCTACACACTCCTCAATTACCCACCAAAACACAAAAAGAGTGGAAGCAGCTGCCTTGCCACAGCACACAAGAGGCACTCTGTTAATGCCTTAAAGTTTAAGAGAGTTATTTACCACGTATCCAGTTTAAAGATTTCATTGGAACTTGAGGAGTAAGGATGAGAGAGAAAGGGAGGAAAAGTAAGGAGAAATTAAATTCATTAAATTCTCCCTCTTAGGTGACTAATATTAAGAATTTCCTACCTTCATTAATAGAATCTTGGGCCTGTAATTTAGACTTATCTTGGAAATGTCAAGTGTATAACTTCAGGAGCATCATTTCATGGTAGGTTTTTCTGACAAAGATTTTCTTCAGTCACTCCTAAAAGAGATAACATTTCTATATGTTGATACCATATTTAAAATTCTGATCCTGATTCTGCTTAGGAGCTTAACCATAACATGGTTCCCTTGAATCCACAAAGGTCAAGGTACTGGCCCAGAAGCAGAAAGGCTGTGCATTCTTGGAACTGTTCTTCAATAGTGGGGATGGGTCATGCTGGCCATGATGGACCCTCCAGAAAAGTCCCTCTAAACAACCAACAGAATGTTAGCTGGAATTATGGGCCTAGTCAATAGTTCTACGACAGGCTATAGCAAAATCTTTCATTTAAGTACAGAACCTACAACACCTTGATTTCTAACCTTATTCACAGATCTAAATACAATTTTTATAGAGTTTTTTTTTTTACCTTTGGGAAATACATTTGTTACTTCTTAAGATGTTGGAAAATGGCATTGCTTAAAGGTCTGTAATGGAAAGAGCAATGATGTAGAGTCACTGTGTCAATGATGTACACATTAAGACTTGAGTTGTGGAAGATATGGGAACTTATCTCACAAAACAGGAATGGGTAAGAGATGAAGAATATACAAACATAGAGGAAGAGGTGGGAGTGGGGTGGAAAGACATCACATAAATCTCACTTTCATCTGAACTGGACAAAGGAAGGGTGAACACACACCCTTCTTCACCACATGGTGAAGAAATACATTAAACTCAGCAGAGAAATAGGTGGGGATGTTGGGGTTAGAAGGGAAGACAGGATTGGTTAAGGGATTAAGCATAAGCAAGACAAACTAGAATACTTGAGGGTGGAATATGAAAGTGAGATAAAAATTAAAGAAAGAAAGAGTAAAAAAACTGACTGGAAAAATGCAGTGTTAGAGAAGAGGAGCAGTGGAGGAGAAACAGATCACTTCAATTATAGGTCTTTAGTGTTAAACACTCTCCTTTTCTTTTAACATTTTCTTGTAAAGGACTGTGGGGCAAAGAGAGGAAAAAATACAAGAAGATAGGATGAAATGAAAACCACATAATTAATAATGATAACTGTAAACATAAATGAGATGAATTCACCCACAAATTAGAAGAGAAGAGCAGATTGGATTAGAAAGCACACTCCAACAATATAGTTTTTACAAGAAATAGACTTGAAACAAAAATTCACATGGTTAAAATAAAAGACTGGAGCAAAATCTATTATGCTCCAGGTAAAAAAAAAAAAAGCTGGAGTAGCAATCAGGACTCAGATAAGCAAAAAAGTAAAAACAGACATGGTTAAAAGAGATAAACAGGGAAACTATATTATACTTAAGACCATCAAAGAGAAAATATAAATGTCAGCATTTGCTATTTACACACCAAATGACACAGCCTCTAAATACTTAAAAGAAAAGTTAGTTGAACTGCAAGGAGAAAAAGACAGCAAAACTATAATAGTTGGGGATTTTGACATATCCCTTTCAGACCTAAACAAATAAAGCAAAAAGATAAACAAGAAAGAAGTTAAGGACTTGAACAGAAATTCAGAAAAGTTAGATATGATAGGTATCTGGTGATTCCTCAATCAGAACAGAAAGGAGTATATATACATATATATAAATAATATATGTATGTATGTACGTATATGTATTTGAGCTGTTCATGTTATCTTTATAAAAAATGATTATGAGGGCATAAAAACTTTAATTGAATGCAGAAAAACAGAAATGCTAAATATAGCCTTTCCTGACCTCAATGCAATAAGTCATATTTGATAAACTGCCTTTGATTAAAGGAGTAAAAACTGATTACTAACTAAATTACTCAATTCTAAAGAACAAATCATAGAAACTATATTGATCAAAAACAATCACAATCATGCAACAATATACATGACTTTTGGGATGCAGTTACTGCAGTCCTTAGGGGAAAATATAAAACTTTAAATAATTTCATCAACAAAAGAGAAAAAAACAGACAAATTAATTGGGTATACAACTAAAAAAATCCAGAAAATCAATGAAAATTCAAACTAAATGTCAAATTAGAACTTCTGAAAATCAAAGAATAGAAGTAACAAAACTGCATTGAAATGACATTAGGCACCTTTAAAAAATTAATCAAATAAACAAATTGTTTCAGATTAATAGAAAAAGAAATAGATTATTTAAATAACCTAATATGAGAACAAAAAAGTTGGACAAGCCAAAAATGAATTTCCAAAGGGAAAAAAAAACAAGAAAAAATGGATTTACAAATGAATTCTTTTAAATATTCGATGGATAATTAATTCCAATACCATATAAGCTATTTGCAAAAAATAAAAAGGAAATGAAAGGATCCTATTCAATTCCTTCTTTGATAGAAACATGGTCTTGTTACCTAACCTACAGAGAGACTAATCAGAGACATAAAACTATAGACTCAATATCCCTAAATAAATATTGTTGCAAAAAATTAAATAAAATATTAGAAGAAACTATCATGATATACTGAAAAAGATGATACATTTTGATCAGGTTGGATTTTTGCCAAGAATTAAGTTTGGTTCAATATAAGGAGAAGCATAAATGTCACAGATTATATTAGTAACACAAAATAATAAAAAACACATGATCATATATTAATAGATACTGAAAACTTTTTTTCCCACAATATTAAAGGACCATTTTGGTTCAATGCTAGCTACAGCAATAAAAAAAGAAAACAAGATAATAAGCATAGGCAAAGAAGAAACAAAACTATTGTTGCAGATGACCTTGATGGTCTATCTAGAGAACTCTAAGTAACGGACTAAAAAATTAACTGAAATAATAATTTCATGTAAGTTGTAAGACATAAAATAAACCTACATAAATGATAAGCATTTCTGAATATTACCATTAAAACCCAATAATAAAAGAAAGAGAAATTCATTAAAATAACTATACATTGTATACAAATATTTGGGTATCTACCAATGAAAACATGTACAGGCACTATATTAATACAATGATAAAACTGTTCACAAAAATACAGACCTAAGTAAATAGAGAAATATTAATTGCTCAAGGTTAAGCCATGCCAATTTAATAAAAATGGCAATATTACCTGAATTAATATACATATTTATTTATACCAAACTACCAGAACTTTTTTTATAGAACTAGAAAAAAACATTATGAAGAACAATTAACTCTTCTATGAACAATAAATATGGGCTGTTAGGTGGCGCAGAGGATAGAGTGCCGAGCCTGGAATCAAGAAGACTCATCTTCACGAACTCAAATCCAATCTAAGATATGTACTAGCTATGTGACCCTGAGCAAGTCACTTGACTCTATTTGCCTCAGTTCCTCATCTGTAAATTGATCTGGAGAAGGAAATGGCAAACCACCCTTGTATCTCCGCCAAGAAAACCCCAAATGGGTCATGGAGAGTTGCTCACAACTGAAAAATGAATTAATAACAAAGATGCTTTCCAATGACAGGGTCTCTTCATTCCATTATTGAATAGCACTGATTATTAGGAAGCTCTTCCTTTTATTTTGTTCCATTTTATGTCTTGATTATTTCTACACACTGGTACTAGTTAGGTCGTAGATCATAGTATTTTAGATTTGAAAGAGACCCAGTTTATAATGCAGTCCCAAACTCTCACCTGAAAGGCTAACAGGAATGACATCTAGAGTAAGCCAGTGCCAAAAAGGAACTAGTTCAAAGAAAGGTCACAGAGAAGGATGAAGTCATCAGTTTGGAGGGGCTGCTATATAGGGAACTCAATAAGCAGTTCAAGTAGTTTTCATGAGGCTCTGTAAAAGAAATATCCTTTGTCAGACTATGCATTTTAATTTTTGGTTTGGAAAAATATGTTTACCTCAGGCACAGATGACAGAGTGAGCAAAGAGGAAATATTCTAATTTGGCCAGCACCCATGGTCCCAGAGGAATTTTCAAGGGACTTGGGTGAGATAAGTTAATTAAGACATCATAGAATATGAGATTTGAAGTCATGAGGATCACAGGATCCATAGCCTTAAAGCTAAAAGACACCATAGAGACTGTCTGGTTCATCTACCCCATCTTTTTTACATATGTGAAATCTGAGGCATGGTGAAGTCACTTGCCCAAAACCACACAGGTAAGAAAGTAGCATCCCTGCAATTTGAACCTGGGAGATGGATCTGATTCCAATTCCATTGTTTTCTACTACATCATGGTATGGGCCAGGGGCATGATGGAGAAATCCAAAGAGGGCAACGTGGTGGAGTTTTTCTCCAGAGAAAGATAAAAGTCCACGAAAACAGGATTCAAAAAAGAGATGCTGGGCAGAAGACAAAGGGAACTTCAGATGAGGGCTCAGGTGACTAGAGAGAATGATGCTCCTGCTTGAACCAGCAAGAGTGGAATGTCCTCTAGAGTTAGGACAGCTGCTGACAGCCATAACCAAAAACAATCACTCAACTTAAAAAAGAGGCACAAAACCTAATAAAGCCATAAACATATCATGCTGCATGTTTCAACAAGTTTGAATCAAACAAACTAGCAAATAAAGAACAAGACAGATTGCTCTATGCCGCCTTCCAGACAAGCTTGAGATGTTCTAACCTTTGGCTTTGTTTTCTTTCCTTTTGGATAGTTGTAGCTGGTGTCTGTGCCAGTCTGGCTGTACTGATTTTGCTCTTTATCACTTCATGTCTATCCTTCCATTCTCCTTTGTAGTCTACATATTTATCATTTTTATAATAACAACATAAAATTCCATTACAAAAATACACAATAATTTATTCAGACATTCTCTAAGCACTTGACATTTAAGTTGTACCAAGTCTTTAGCTATTACAAATTGAGTAATTACGAATTATTTCTGTACAGACAGGTCCTTCCTTTCCTTCCCCTCACCTCCTCCTTTTAATTTCATCTTTATGACCAAAAGGCAGAATCTAGATTTGGGACTCTGGAAGACCTGAGACACTTGACAGCTGTGTGACCCTGGACAAGTCATTCAACAACTTCATGCTTCAGTTTCTTCATCTGTAAAATGAGAGGGTTGGATGTAATTGCCTCGAAGGTCTTTTA